CCAGGGGCAGCTCCACGCGGCGGCGGCGGCGCTGAGCGCATGGGCGGCTATCTGCCGCGGCTGGTCCGCGAGCGGGTCTCTCCCTTCACCTCCGCGTGGGGTGCGAAGAGGCGTGGCGTCGCCAGAAGCGGACGCACGGGTGGCACGCTCCGGCAATAATCTATCACCATCATCAGCATCAACATCAGCATCAACATCACCATCGTCATCCGCGATGTGATGGCGAGCGGCGCGAGCAGGAGAAAGGCGGCGGCCGCTCTTGCCCGATTTCTCCTCCTTATTATCATGTTTTTGCTGCGCGCCACATGCCGAAAGCAAGAGCGCAGCCCCCGGCGGGAATTGCAAAAACCTTAAGTTATCTATTAGGGCCGACGCAGATGCCGAGATTGCCAGAAGTCGTCGGCGGTCAGGTCTTGGGCCAAAGGTGCCCGATCCCTGCCCGAAAGACATGGGCATCTGAAACCAAAATGGTCACGGAAGGGCGGGGGGAAAACGGGAAGGGGAGATGTGTGATGCTGGTGATGCTGATGATGGTGATGATGGTGTTGATGCTGATGATGATAATGGTGCTGATGATGGTGATGATGTTGTTAACAATGATGGCGCTGATGATGATGTTGCTGATGATGACGATGGCTATGGTGCTACGGATGATGATGATGCTTGCGATGATGTCGATGATGATGATGCTGATAATAAGGAATGCAATGATGACCGGGATGATGAGGGCAATGGCGATGATGTTGGTCGTGATGGTGATGGTGATTGTGATGGTGGTGCTGGTGCAGGTGATAGCAACGATGAGGGTAATGATGACGATGGCAGCGATGATGCTGATTATCATGATGATGGTGATGGCGACGGTGGTGCGTCCGACATGAGGACGCGACCACGGTCGGCGCATGGGCGTTGGCAGTCTCCGCGGCCACCCGGGCCCAAGAGGGCGCGATGGCCTCGCTCGGGTATGAGGGGGCACGAAGGGCCTCAAGACGATGATGACGTGTTCCCTAGGAGGTATGACGTCGCCGCTGCTGTGTTGTGGCCATGCCTGGCGGATCCGTCGGGGATGCTTGGCAACCCCTTGTTCGCGACCAGCGCCAGATTGGCATGCTTGATATTCTGCTGCTCGTTCGCCGTATCGAGGTGTTCAACGTTCAAATGCGCGCGCGAGAAGATGCGCTGTTTGGCCTCGGGCAAGTCCGCGGCCATCCGCGTAGTCGCAATACAATATGGGACATGGCGTCGCGAACGTGTCCCTCTTGATCAGTTTCTGGGCGGAACCGATCGCGTAGCCGCCGAGATCAGGCCTGGCAGGGTCTCAGAGAAGAACGCTGGCATGGCGCGGGGGCCCGCGCGGAGCTTGGCGCGCACCTGGGCGCCAGGCCGGCCACCATTGAGCCCAGTAGAATGCCGGCCCACATGCCCCTCTCACGGGGGGGGGGGGGGAAACGGGAGAGGGCCAATATCAGTCAGGTTCAGGCTGGAGGCATTGACCCCCGTCTCTTGAGCCCCGACAGTCGCCGCTGCAACGAAGCGCGCGCCGCCTTCCCCTGTGGCCCCCCCGGACAACCCGCGCAATGCACTCGGGCCCTCGACGCCCGAAAGCCCCCCCCAAAACGACCGAGACGGTCAACCCATGCGCCCCAGCCTGGGGCCCGAGCACGCGAGTCGCACCGGGGATGTCGCGCGCGAGAGCCATGCCGATGCGACGCGCCGGCTGCGCGCGAAAAGCTGCCGTGGCCGCGGGCCCCGCGACGATGGAGCCGCCGAGAGGTGATGCGCGCTTGCGCCCGCCAGCTGGCAACCGCGTGCGATGAAGGCTGAGACTGCGTGCGCTCGGGCTGCTGCGCGGCTTCCATGGGGAATGTAGTCGCCTGCCGTGGTGATCGAGGGTTGCGCGCGGCGTTGCTTGCGTCCGCGCGGCAATTCTAGGACGCGCGACCGCCCCCTACCCCCGTTCGACACGCCAAGAGATTACATCGTCGAGGCCAAACTGGATGCGGCCTACCCGCCTGTTCCCTAGCGCGCCAGGGAGGGGGGGGGGCCGGGGCGCGCGCGCGACTCCTGGCCAACGCCAACGCCCCCGGTCACAACGGAGATGGCGAAGCGAGTGGCGGCCCCATGTTCCGCAGAAGCACCTGCGTTCTACTGACCTGGGCCTCCCAGCACAGAGCCCGTTGTGCAATTGCTCCATCTATCCCCCTACCCCAACTCCTTCCTCTTCCCCGAGATTTTCGGCTTCGCCAATGACATTGGTCTTGTGAAGGCTCGCGGCTCGCGTCGCAAAGGACCTGGTCTCCTTCTGTCCTGTGACGCGCGCTCTCCAACTGCGCCTGCGAGATTTTGAAACAACTATTGGCAAGCCACCTGGCGCTGGGAAAATTGCCGTTCCCTGGCCTCTTGACTCCGCTTCTTGGCATTCTGAGGCCGGCCGTTGGGCGTAGTCTGCGCCGACAGCCTGGTGGCCTGAGCTCGTGAGTGACGCGGAGGTCTCATGTGACTAGTTGCTGGCCCTCGCTCTTAGAGGAGACACCGATGCCGCGGTGCGTGTGTGTGTGTGTGTGCGTGGGTGTTTGTATGTGTGTCCCATGGCGCGCTCTGGCTGCGCGCGATTCACCTGTGCGCCGACGCGCTGACCGACTAGCCATCAACTCGCCAGTGCGAGACTGCCCCGAGGGGGGATATAGTGAGATCCTAATGCAATAAGAAAAGCTGGGGCTGCAGGAGAGACGCGCAACGCCCTGAGCGAACGAACGTTCGCCAATTCCCTCCCGCAAGCGAGGCTGAGCCTTGGCATGTGAGAGCAGCTGCGGCATAACCCACAACGTGGGGAGACCGACATGAATCCGCCAAAGGCTTTGCAGATGAAGGCGCCGAGTGGGGTGACACCGCCGCGCCCCCAATTCGGGCCTGCAAGCGCCCTTGCGCCAGGGGCCCTTCCCAACTTCGCGCGGGCGGGCGCTCGCTGACTCAGCGAGGAGCCGCGCCGATTTCTATATAGGTGTTAGCGTCTCTTTCCCGGCCTGGACAGCCCGATGGCCCTGTCTAGAAATGGCCGCGTGGCTGTCGGCAAAGGCGACGCGCCGCGCTGCTTCCCGGTGGTCTCTGAAGCAAAGCAGCCCCAAGCACGACGCCCCAGGCGATGGGCATTTCCATGAAGAAACTTCTTAGAACCTAGGATATCCGGGCGAAGCTGAATCTGAATATATCCCGCCTGCGGCGAAGCCGATGTCGGCCCGCCCCGTTGACCTGGTCGAGGGGCGCGGCGTCGGGCAGCTCGCCGCCTCGAGCTGCGCCGCACGCTCTCGCGCGCGCGCGCCCCCCCCCCCCTGCGTCCGCCGCGGGTGACGCCTGCTTGGCGCGCGCCCTCGAGGCGACCTTGACCGCCGAGGGCGCGTTGGCCTCCCGCTGCACTTCCGCCCATGACGCCTGCGATGCTGGCCGGGGGGTGCTTGGCCTGCGGCGGGGCCGTCCGATGGCCCAGCGCTCGCGGCGCCTGCGGCCCCGGCGCCTGCCGCGGCGGTGCCATCGCGCCGCTCGGCGCCTGCGTGCCGCTGTCCACGGCGCTGCCCTCCGCGCCCTGGCGAATCGCCCCGCGATGTGCTTCTGCATCTGCATGGCCTTCTGCTCGCGCTGCTCGATCTGGGGGCCCTCCTCGACGAGGGGGCCGCGGGCTGTGCGAGGCTCTTGATCAAGGTTCAACAACCCCTCCTTCTCCGATTGCTCGCCATCATACTCGTCGACACGCGCAAAGATCTCGCCCCATGTGATGGCCCGCGCCTCGGGCCCTGTGGCAACGCTGCTCAACTCCAAGGTGTCGCCGACGCCTGTCCCGCCTCCTGCGCCAAGGCGCGCGCGGCGTGCGCGCGTGCATGGCCGCAGACTCTGACAAGTCATGGGCATGTACATGCAGGCAATACTGGGGTCATGTTGGACAGTGCAAGACAAAAGCCCCCCCAGGGAAACATTCTCGCCTGCCCTGGCAATGCGCCAGACCAAGAAATACATCAACGCGCCGATAAATCATCTCATGGGGCTGCCAATTCACGAACATATGTGGCTTCAGACGCTACCTGTTCACGGGCTACCTTTATTGTTGGATTCGGCTGCCAATTCGCGAGCCTATGTAGCGTCCTTCTCTTTCGCATTTCTGCAACTGTCCCAAGGCACTGCGTGGACTGAGTTGCTTCTTTGTCGCGGCTTATGTTCACTTCCTTCCACAAACCACCTGCTCTCTGCATGGCCTGCATCTGCTGATCACGGAATTGTTACCTCCACGGGCGCGGACAGGGCTTGAAACTGTTCGAACGATGCCTTCTTAACCTTCATGTCCATTGCGCTGGCCGGTACCTGGGTAAGCGAGGTCTTGGCTTTCTCTCCGGCGTTGCTGCCAGCTGGAGTGGGCTTCCCACCTGAACCCTTGCCTTGACCCTTCGTGGACATCACGAACTGCAGCTGGTTGCCAGCCTGGTCGTCGCTCTGCTGGACCGCTGTCGTTGTCTTTCTGAAGCTTGCAAAAGTTGACAGGTCGGTCGCACTTCGAGCCAAGACATGCGCGTGACATAAGGATGCCGTTACATTCCGAGGTGTGACACCCAACGCCATAGCTGCGCGGTACCCCCACCATCTGGACGAAACCGTGGTTTCGCCGCGCAGTTCGACCAGCGATGGGGCCAAGAGGCCGCGTGGCCCCCCAAACACCTCGTGGCGGTGCAGGGTTGGCTCTCGACTGAACCGTACACAACATGCAACGCCTCGAAGCCTATTGCTTCATCAGGAGAAGAGATGGAGAAAGGAAGGGGGCAGGAGGGGGGACTGGAGAAAGCAGGGGCGGGGCAGGAACAGGGAGAAGAGGGGGGCGGCGACGACCAAACAACGATCAGGAACAAACGCCGCGAGACCCGCCCCGTCAGCGGAGCAGGAGGAGGACGACAATTCGACGTGGAGGAGCTGGAACTGGAGCCGGAGGAGAGGGACGGGGGCGAGAAGCAGGCGACGGCCTGCGCGCCGGGCTCCGCTGCCGAGGCCGCCGGCGTGCTCGCGCGCGGCGGGGTGGGCGGCTGGGCCTCCGTGGGCCACGGGGGGCGGCAGTGGGGGCAGGCGGGGAGGAGGAGAAGGAGGAGGAGGAGGAGGAGGAGGAGGAGGAGGAGGAGGAGGATGGGGTACAAGGGGGGTGTGAGGAAGACGTGGGCAAAGATGGCGAGGGACGACTGAGGTGAGAGCGGTGGAGCGAGAGCAAACAGAGCACGAGCGAGCCGACGACGGCCTGCGCGTCGGGTTCGGCAGCTATGGGCTTCAGCTTCTCCTCGCGCGGCGTGGCGGGTTTGGCCTCCATGGGTCGCAAGGGGGCGGCTCATGGAGGGGAGGAGTAGCATGGGGAAGAAACGAAGAAGGAACAGCAGAGGGCAGCGGAGGAGTGAACCCGATGGCACGGGAACGGGAGAACACATGCGGACAACTCACGTTGAAGAGCCTCCACCAGGGAGTGTCCCTGGGCAGCTGCAGCGGTGAGCGCACCTTCGCCACCGAGAGCCTCCGGGTAGCCGCGACGGTGACCAGCAGGCACGGAGCAAGCAAGCGGTGGCTACTGAGCCTGCCCCTCTCGCCCATCGGGCACACGGAGCAGCGTGTTTGCCAGCGCCACCCCCACGCAGTAAGCCATTGCACACCGGATGTGCGTGAGAGCTGCGCGGTGCTGTCTCCCGTGTGGTGTAAGCTGTGGCGTGCTAGTTACGCGGTGCGCGCCACGCGGTGTAAGATATGTGGTGTCAGTCATGTGGCGTGGTTCGCCAGTCGAGGCGACGGTCGTCAATTCCAACGCTCGCCAAAAAACGCGCACACACACAAACTCCCACCCGCAACTTCTTTCGCAAACCCCATTCGGCGACGATGGCGGCTGCCGATTGGAGCTTGCTGGCGCATCTCTGCGACCGCACTGGCGCGCGCCCGCGCCCGCACAGATCTGCCAGTTGGTTTGGCACAGAAGATTCGGCGCGATGGCGCTTACCGATGGCAACTTCCCAGCGCTTCTCAGAGGTCGCTCTGGCGCCCGGGCACTCCAATGCAGGTCGGCGACTCGGGAGGGGCGCAAGATCATGATGACGCCGGCAGCGGCGACAATGACGGCGGCGGTGCTGACCCCGTCGATGGTGATGATAGAAGATGGCGGTGAGGATGGCAGCGACGACGCGGACGACGATGCCGCTTCTGCTGAGGATGGCGAGAGAGGGCGCGCCCGCACAAATCAAGGCACCCTGGCACGATCTCCAAATGCGCCGTGCGGAAGAGTGCGCCTCTGGCCCGCACGGTGTTCTTTGAGAGAAGGGTGGTGGACGCGCAGTGGCGGTGAAACGATTTTGACATGCGCGCGCGAGTGGCCAGCATGACCAGACCCCCTCGAGTAATGAGAAAATCATGACGGAACATGTTTCGCCATTTTCGGCCTCAGGGGGCCCTTACCGGGCCTCGGGACCGTCGAAAAACGGATCAGGATGACAAGCCGGTCCTAGGGAATAGGTCGAAACCTCTGAGGGTCGACGTCATGAAAACATCACGTCGTCAGGGATCTGGGTGGTCTGAACTGACAGAATGCCCGACGTTCGGACGGGCCAAGCCACCTGGATGGCCCGGGTGGCCCGGACGGTTCCTGGAATTTCAGCGACTTGCGCGCGCGTGGTTCTGACTCGCGTGGGTTTTTCTCGTAGTTTTTGACTGGCCACGTCTTGAGCACTGAAGGCGAGATTTGCCCTTGAAGGATTATTTTGAGGCGCGCGCGCGGCGGCGCGCGCCTGTGGACGGTGTGGTGTTTTTTTTGTCCCCCCTCACGGGGTCCTTGCAAGATAACCTTCGGAGATAAACAGGTGCGCGCGCGCGGTTTCATTCAACAGGTACGAGGGGGGTGGGGCGGGTCGATACCCGCTGGGCTCGGATGGTCTGGCTTTGTATGGGAAGTGAGCGCTGCGACAATGTCAAATGTAGACTGCAATGCCCCAGAGCGAGGCGGGGGATGAAGTCTGAAAGGACGAGGGTGGTAGACTCCATTCTTCTGCGAAGCGAGAACCTACGTGGTGCAAGCCACGTGGTGCAAATTGCTGTGGTGTAAGAAAAATGATGCAGGCTGTGTTGTGCAAGTAGTTCGCGTCAATGTTCAAAAATGAATTGTCAACCCCGCTGCTCGGGCAACCCCCCCAACCCTCCCACCCGCAACTTGTTTTGCGCAGCCCATGCGGCCGCGATTGAGGTGAATCCTTGGCACTGGCTGGCGCTTCTCTGCCGCGGCGCTAGCGCGCGCAAGCTCGCGCGCAAAACGACCAGCTGGTTTGGCCCAGCCAATGCTGTCGCGATGGCTCTTGCTGGTGGCAACTCCACAGCGCGTCTCAAAGGTCGCTTTGGCGCTCGGGCGAGCGGGCGCGGTATCATGATGACGCCGACAACGACGGCAACGATGATGATAGTAGCGGTGGTGGCACTGATGATGATAACAATGGTGATGATGATGGTGGCGATGGCGACGGTAAGGCCAATGACAGCGCCAATGATGGTGACGACGATGACGATGATGATGTCCGCGTGTCGGTGCTGATGGTGCGTGAGTGATGACGGCGGCAAAGGTGGCGACTGGCGATGGCGTGATGCCGCGGGGCTGACGAGGGTGATGGTGAGGAAGCGCGCGCGCGGAAATGCCTTGATGTGCTTCGACAGGCGCTGGTTTTGGAAGGACTTCGACTCGCGCGCGTGGCGGCGCGCGCGTGGCCCGCACGGTGCGATTTGATACGGGCTCGTACGCTGGGGGCCTGCTGGATCGACGCGGATGCACCGCGAGGTGAACTTAGAACGCGGGTTCTGGACCAGATTCCTAAGATCAGATGGTCTCCCTGCGCATTCAACAGGTGCGCGCGGGCAGAACATCTGCAAGACCTGTGATGACATGTTTGGTCGCGTCTTGATGTTGAAATCTTGCAAAACCGAGGTGGTTGGTCTGACTTCGACATATTCGCGCGCGTGTGGACTTTGTGATCTTTGTTTGCAAGTGCTTGTTGAACAATGATATTTTGCGATAAACGTGTGCGCGAATAGTATTATTTGTCAGGGCTGTAGGGGGGCAATGCTAGTCGCCCTGGGGTTGTATGAATTCATATGGAAAGTGAACGGCGAAGCATAATCATATATACATTGCGACATCCCAGGAGTGGCCGAGAAGTCCGGGCTCGGGAGGTGGTGGAATGTGTCTTTTTGCATGGAGAATCCGTGTAGTGCAGGTGTACAATATGCGGTGTTGGCTATGAGGTGTACGATATGTGGTTGTGGCTATGCCATGCAGCCTATGTGGTGTAAGCTATGAAGTGTTAGCTCTGCGGTGCAAGCTGTGTGGTGCAAGCTACGCTCTGGAGACAATGCAGTAAAAAAACAGCTCTGTGGTGCAAGCTGTGCAGCCGCCTGGCGCACGAGGCGCCTGCAAAAGACTCCCCCAGGCTGCCACCAGGCGAACCCTCGGCCGACCCACCTGGCGCACGAGACGCCCACGAGGCCACCACAGAGGTGCCGAGTGGCGCCCCCGAGCGGGCACCCGGCGTAACCTCGGCGGGCCCACCCAGCGCTCGAGGCGCCGGCGAGGCGCCCCCGGGCTCCCATCGGACGGGCACCTCGCGAAACCTCGGCCGACCGGCACGCGCGGCGCCCGCGAGGCGCCCGCGGGCGCCCGACGGCGAGGCGCCCGGGCCGCAGCCTCGGCCGACCCATCCAGCGCGCGGGGTGCCAACGGGGTGCCCTCTGGCGGGCAGGCGGAGCCTCGGCTGCCCCACCCGGCGCGCGAGGGGCGCAGGGGGGCGCCCAAGGGCGCCCACGGGCGGGGCAGAAGGCGTTGTGCTGCCGAGGAGCCCCACGGTCTTCGTGGAATATGTCGTGTCATCGCTGAGCACGTGCCTGGCCTCCTGCCTGCTGCACGCCCGTCACGGATAGAGGCCGCCCTCAAAGACCAACCCGTGCACAGCCCCGACGGCGTAGAGGAGGTACCACGCCTGCGATGCCCAGGACGACCGTCAGCGAGCGATAGCGACCGCGCTCAGAGACCACCCCCTTGCGTACCCCCTATGGTGTCGAGAATCTGCCACGATTGCTCTGCCCTGGACGACCGTCACGGATAACGGCCGCCCTCAGAGACCACCCCGTGCGACCCCCCTGATGACGCCTGCTGTGCCCTGGACGATCGTCACGGATAACGGCCGCCCTCAGAGACCACACTCTGCGCGACCCTTATGGTGTCGAGACTATGCCACGCCTGCTATGCCCTGGACGACCGTCACGGATAGCGGCCGCCCTCAGAGACCACCCCCTGCGCACCCCCGATGGTGTCGAGGCTATACCACGCCTGCTGTGCCCTGGACCACCGTCACGGATAGCGACCGCGCTCAGAAACCACCCCGTGCGCACCCCCCGTATGGTGTCCAGACTATGCCACGCCTGCTACGCCCTGGACGATCGTCACGGATAGCGACCGCGCTCAGAGACCACCCCGTGCGCACCCCCCCTCAAGTGTAGAAGGTATGCCACGCCTTTTTTGCCCTGGACGTTCGTCCGGTTATGCCCTGGGCAACCGTCACGGATCGCGGTTGAGTTCGGAGACCACCCTCTGCGCACCCCCTTATGACGTCGAAGAGATGCCACGCCTGCTATGCCCCAGACGACCATCATCCATAGCGGCCGCCCTCAGAGACCACCCCCCTGCGCACCCCCTATGGTGTCGAGGCTATACCGCGCCTGCTGTGCCCTGGACGACCGTCACGGATAGCGGCTCGTATGGAATGTGTGTGCGCGTGTATGTGGGCGGCTGTAGATACGTGTATGTATGGTGTAGAACGCGCCAGGTGTCATCCCTCCCCTGCCTGCGTGCAGTGTGCATGTCTGTGTGTGTGTGCGTCTGTGTGTGTGCGCGTGTGCGTGTGCGTGTGTGTGTGTGTGTGTGTGTGTGTGTGTGTGTGTCACGTGCTGTGCGGCTGTACGTGTGTATCCGTATGACGTTGGGTTGGTTAGGCCGTGTGCATCTGTATGACGGCGAACGAAAAAGAGGAGCGTGAGGGGCGCGTGTGTGTGTGTGTGTGTTTGTGTGTGCGTGCGTGCGTGCGTGCGTGTGTGTGCGCGCGCGAGTGTGTGTGTGTGTGTGTGTGTGTGTGTGCGTGTGCGTGTGTGCGTGTGTGTGCGTGTGTGTGAGACGTGGGTGCGATGCGGGTGGGAAGGAAACAACAAACTCAAGAAGCATGTGGGGAAAAACCTCCGCTGACCCACCCAATTCCAGTAAGACAAGCGAAAGCCACTAAGTGCAAGCATTGCATTGTTTGGGCACACCGCCTTAGACAGACACAGAGGTTGGGGGTGGAAAGGGTCGCACGCGAGGCTTTAGTGTCGCCTTCGCCGCATATCTGATCACCGGGTATTCGCGACACATCTCGCTTCGCATCTTAGTTCGCATGCGTCTGCGTCCATGGACTGATGGCGGCGACCAGGTCCAGTAACACCAACTTCGTGCAACTGGCGTATGCAGCAAGACATGCAAGACAAACCACCGTCGTTTCAGCACATAGTGGAGTGCACCGAGGCTCATGCATATGTGAGCG